ACCGCATTCATGCTTTAATTTATATGCTGCGATATAATGAATTTGTAAGGTTTTTCTCCCTTCTTATCGCGTGCTTTCGGGGTGTAATTGTAAAGTACGTCAGGCTAAAAAATGGAAGATCCAGAGCTCGAATTCCTGCGAAGCCCTTGCATATTTTTAAAGATTTCTGTTCCAAAATATCCCAGTGATGCATACACATTCGCATTTCATAATAAGTAGTAATGATTGCGTTTAGCAAGAAGCAGTAATGGTTGGCCTTTTAGCAAGAGGAAACAATTATTAGAATTTAGGAAGAGAAATAATTATTGGCGTTCAGCAGCAGGATTCCCATTTATTAAAGTGAATAAATGAACCAGATGCATATTACCATTGATGTCGGGGAATATGCTGGCAGATTTCTGGCATATATATATATAGATAGATAGATATTTTTTTTCTGTAGTCTTGATTTCACAATTTTAATTTAAAATATTATATACCAGTGTTATGAGTTTATTAGTATACAACACATGCTGATAGTTTTTTCTCTAACAGATTAAATATGTAAGTACTCTCCTGTGATATTCCTAAATGAAGAAATATATTATTTGATTCTGAACAGAAAATTTCCCTCTCTCTAATAATATAATTTATGATTCAGTAACAGATAACGCCTAGGAAATCAATGGGAGCTGCAAAGGGTTTCGACTGTTGTTCTCGTTATACACTCCATCTTACACATACCAACACATGCATTAAAGAAATTCTGGCAAAAATTACACCTGAAAAGAAGTAGACCGTTAAAACTGAATTATACGGATCTGCTGAAAACAACTTTTAAGAATTTTCTTTCTTTAGATGGTCAACCTTTAAGTTTAAAGCATGAAGAGAGAATTCCTTGGAGATAAATTTGCATTTTATTAGAAGATTTTCGTAACGCTAGAGACAAACATTTATTTTCTTGTACTAAACTTGTTATATATGTTGTACTAAACATGTTATATAGTCTTCTGCAAGCGTCACGCACCTACATTTCTGAAATTTGTTTCGAAATTTTAGAATTAAATTTAAATGGCTTCTTATAATAAAAATTCTTTAGTTTTCTTGCATCTCATTGAGTAGTGATAAACGTATGGTTGCATTGCTCCAATACTTAAAAGCTGATATGACACTAAAAGTGATTAAAAAAACGAAATATTATGTTATGTTGTATGGTTTTTCCTATTAATTAACCCAGTTATCTTATTGTTTTGGCTTCAAGTTTCATTAATTTCCTCCAGAATGAAAATTAGTTAAAATATAAATAAGATCAAAATAATTGGTTTCTATACTGAGCTTTTGGGAACATAGACTGAGTCTCATTCTGTTTGAGGTTTCTTGCAACTGAATTTTAACTTATCGGTTTAAGCTTTTGCTAGTCGCTAATGCTTTGCGAATGCATAATTAAGCCACGGTTTAGTTAGACGAACTGATTTTATAATTCGCATTCAATTTCATTTGAACGTGTGTTTTGGCTACCGCAGAATAGCGAGATTCTGTTTCATTTAAATATTTGAGCTTGCGGAATTGACAAATGGACGTAGTAATTAACAGTTTTTATTTTAATCCTTTAGTTTTAAGTAGTGGTACTTTTAATTACAAAGTTAGATTGGACGAAAAATCGTCTAGTAGTCTCTCTACGGTTGTTTTGAAGCGATTTGGTAATTTAAAGTAATAGTGTAACTGTATGATGCTATTCATTAAATATTACCCTGGTATTCAGATTTAATTTTACATACATAAAATAACCGATTTCTCAAAAACTGTTTAATGAAACTAAACAAATTTCGTTGAGGTGATTTTTACTACCATAACATATAAATGTAAATTAAAATAACGTATAGAGGCTTTCTAGTATAAAAACTACATTAGGAGATAAGTGAAACTAAAATAATATATGATAACACAGTTTTTGAAAAAAGTGCATACCTCAGGGAAAAATTATAGACTTTTGTCATCAAGAGGGAATATGATCGCTTTTAATTTGCAAGCACATATCATTTAGATATTTCATGCTTTCGATAAAGTGATTAATTATAACGTGGGAGGAGTTAAATTTCACGCCTTCATTAGTACAATATTCAAGGCACTGAGGTCTTCAAAATGAGAATTTCGCTGTTCAAGAGCTCTTTCAGAGCTGTCGCAGAAATTCTACGCCAGATCAAAATTAATAGAAAGCTGTAATGCCTACGACATTTGCAGTCAACAGTTACTTTATGAAAAGATACAGCAGGTTAAAATTATGAAGCAAAAGTCACTTCTAAATAAAATAATGTGGTAGTTTCAAAAGGAACAAATTTAAAGTAGAAACCGTATACATATGTTAATAAGTTTTTTTACCACATAGAATAGGTGTATTTAATATTGAAGTACTGAGAATATGTGGAATCAGTAGAAATTACTCTATTGATAATGGCACAAGCGCATGTTCTCTGTTGACTTTTGTTAACACAAAAAGAAGCCTGCTCACACCAAGTGGATAAAACATTCCTAGCTCTCTTCTAGCACAGAAGAAGAGCGATGGGATCTTGCCATGAATCTACTTTTTTATTTCTTTGCCTTAGTAAACCTCTGCCAGTGATTTTCTCAACAAGCAAGGTCAATCTTGAGATTAAGCATTCAGGAAAGAAAATATACGTTGTTCAACTGCAGTTATAACTGAAAACAATGAGTGCTATCGTATAAAAGTGCGTGTTGAATTAAAATATAGTTTTATATATCTGGAAAGTTAAACTGTCTCTGTAATGGAATGAAATATTATGGTCGTGCTACAAAAGTATCAGTGGGAAAAATAATAAAAATTTTTTGCTAAACAACAAAAAGGTGTATAAATGCGAAATTAAAAATACAGATCGTTGATTTAATTAAACATACGAAGGTTATCTGCAAAAGAAGGGATACTTTCGTAAATAACTTAAGGGAAACTGGCTTGTATTCATGTTACACATGAGGAAAACTACCAAAACGTTTATTGGTTAGGATTTAAATCTGTGTTAAACAACCAACATTTCAGCGGTCTTATCCATTCGGAGGTTGGTGGCTGTAAAAGCACGGAGTCTCAGTAATGAACGGAGCTCGAAAGAACGAAGCCTGAGTAAAAGTAATAAAATGAAACAATCATAAAGAAAAATTGAAGAGAGAAACTATAAATTTTTCATAAGACACTTTTTTTTACAATGCTTGTATTCACGTTACACATGAGGAAATATCCATTCGTTAACACTACGGAAATATCTATTCGTTAAGATTTAAACCTGTGTCAAACAACCAATATTCAGCGGTCTTATTCACTCGGAGGTTGGTGGCTCTAAAAGTACGGAGCCTCAGCAATGTACCGAGCTCTAAAGTACGATGCCTCAGTAAAAGTAATAAAATGAAACAATAATAAAGCAAAATCGAAGAGAGAAAGTATATATTCTTCTTAAGACCCTTCTTGTTTTTAGAATGCCGTTAAAGACCTAAAGTTATTTACTTAAAATCCTAAATTTTTAAACAAATAATCTGTTATTTTTTCTATTCGACTTTTTAAATCTACGTTTTGCAACATGTAACATACAAAAATAATGATTTTTAATCTCAATTACACGTCCTTTTTAGGAAGAAAAATGATTTTCGTAGCAACTACATTCTTATTTCAAGATCGCGCATTTGTTAATTTTACAAATGCATATTTTTGTTAAATAATTTACCTGTTAAAGCGAACAATGTAAATGTTTAATGTTATTGTGCTGTCGGTTTACAGATCAAAATATCCTAATTTATTTAATATATACACTGCAGCTGGTATACATCCTCTATTATGTCTTTAAACATGTTGAGTTTTCTTTTCTTTTCCTTGACCGCATCAGTTTTAAATTAAAGTACAGTGAAAGATACCGAAAACGTTTAAAAAGCGATGCCAACCATCTATTACAAATGCGAATAAATTCCAAATATTCATTTCGCAGGCCACCTTTCCGCTTTTGTCACTCAAAGCGATTTTATACATGGACAAGTAGTCAGAAAAATGCATATTAAATACAAGATTTTTATAGTATTTAAAACAATAGGAATTCGAGTAAGATAAAATGGTTCTTTCTTCATTACTATTAAATTAAGTTTGCAAGGTTTGCTTTGCAGTACTTAATAATAAATTCTTTACATAACTCAAGAGACACTTGCAATGATGTTATGAAATTTTATGATTAATTTCTTTCTTGGAGGAGTTCAAAGAGGAAAAGCAGAAAGGAGAAAAAGTCTTCTCTGAAAGAATTATTTGAAGTATTTTATCAGGTGAATCTAATAATAGCATATAACATATTTCCAGAATTCATTGGCATCTAATGTAAAAGAACTGATAACAAATGGGGGAAAAAAAAAGAACTAAAAAAGGAAAAAAGAGTGGAATTTGCTTCCAACTCATACATCTTAGATGTTCCAGTTTACGAAATGTATGGAAAATAATATTTCGTCTCTGCGAAGATAATTTACTTATTTGAAATATCTTAGAAAGTCAACAATTGTTATTCATTTTCCTAACAGTACGAAGAATATTTCTTACTTAGATCGGACTAAATTTAAGCTTTCATTGAATTTATCATTTGTAATACAATAGACAATGCAAGTAATACTGATCAGTACAGAATATAACGTTAGGTTCCTAAGTTTTATCTATCACAAGTAAAATCTGTAGCTATTAGTTAAATGAATTTTTTTAACTTCTACTTATGCTTTATTCTAAACCTTTTTTAATGAAGCCTTATGTATGAAATATACATAAATACGAAAACATAGAATATGATATAAAACTACCGAAACAGCGAAACGTTCGCTATAATTGAAATATATTTTCTAGTAAGAAAGTTAACTTTAGAATTCAAGTAATAGTTAATAAAAGTATAACGCTTTAAATGTTAATTGGATTTCTGAAATTCCTCTTGAATGGAATAAAATAGAGTACCGAATTATAATACTTATGAAATATAAGAGAAAGACTGACTTACCTGAAGAAATGCCTTGCCATTCTTTACCCAACCAAAAGCGATATCACTGCCAGGCATACCTCCGTGAGGCGACAGTCCCAAAGCCACATAACCTCTGGTTTGAACTTCTATTTTGAATAAAAGTCTTTCATTTGATTTGTCGACTTTCCAAAATAAATGGTATCGTCCATAGTCATCCAAAATGTCGTGGTGATAACCATGTATATGAATGAAATTTTCAGATAAAAAGATGAACAATAATATTCTCAGTTTCCATGAAAATATATTCTTCTGTTCTTCTCTAAGTAGCATCACTGCATAAATTAAACTGAAATAAATAGCAATGACAAGTTTTCCAATAAATATATAGTGTTCAGTTCATCGTAGAGATGAATGATTCTTAATTAAAAAACATAATTTAAGCTCATATCTTCAGCTGATGTCCTACAAACACGCAGTTATTTTGAGTTAAATTAGTATAAATTATACATTTAAATCCTGTACTGAAATGGCACGAAGAAAGTAAAAAAGAAAATTCCTATTTATACAAATTTATTTTAAAACGTGGTATTCGTGCTTTTTATTAAATAAATATTTACGTTTCAGATAAGCTCTGATATATTTTCTTTCTTCAGATCAATCATGCGTAGATAAATAATAACATATATTCAGTTTCAGATGATTATTTCACTATTATTTGATGTTCGAAGTAATACTCGCAACAGAACAAGGAAGAGAGCAAGTCCTTTTAAAAACAAACGCGGAAATCTACAAAAGTAGAAATATATCAAGTTCCATCCAATATCTTTGCTGTTATGTATTGTGCTGACACTGCGTCACTCGAAAGATGTAAAGAACAGCCCGCGTTCAGCCAACTAGATATCCTTTTTTGTACCTTAGCCCTCTGACAGCTGCAGCGCTTCTGCTTTCCACCCGGTTTCTCATCTCCCCTGTTGTACGCGGTTCCGTTCACACGCGTTTGGCAGGTGTGTCATTTCCGGCGTCTGCGGCCGGACCCGTGAATCCGTGACTATCATGGGGGCTGATTTTTACCTTTTTTACTATTTTGCTCCTCCCTCCTTCCCATAATTGCAGAAGGGTTATTCCACACTATGGGGATGAAACTACAATAGCATGACAGTTGGGAATAGATTGCTATTAATTAGAAATGATGAGTTTGGATTAAAACCTTTCTTGTAGGTTTTACAGGAAAAGTGATTTTATTCTTTAACAGATTGAGGAAATCTACGGCAGGTACATTTCTCCTGCTTTTTTTTTTTTTTTAAATTTGTTATATTATTCCTTGCTGTCGTCTGAGTTAGGGCTAGTGCCATAACTCAGACGATCTAAGAGATCATTTTCAGTTTAAAAAAAAAAAAAAAAAAAAAAAAAAAAAAAAAAAAATTAAAACCACTTTCAAATAATCTCTATGATGGTTTTTCACTCGTGTAATTATTTACCTAAATTTGACACTGGAACAGGGAAAAAAGCGAAAAGGAAATTTTATGCCGTTATTAAATGACACTAACGCTATATTATTATTTTACAGTTTAAGTGCAAAAAACAGGATATTTAATAAATAACGGTAACACACAAAACGTTAAAAAGAACTCCCCTTTGGGCGTAATGTAAAATCTGAAAGCTTTCAGATTTTTTTCTATTACATCATTAAGTAAAATTCAGCTGTTATTTATAAAAAGAGATTGGTTAAAAAATGGTATTGGAGAGTATAATTCATTATCATTTGAGAAAAAGAAGAATACAAAATAATTTAATTAAAATATTAAGCGAAAGGAGATTAATTTTATTTCCGACTTACTTGCTCATTTTCAGGACCTATTTTCTATTAGTTTACTTAGTTTTAGACGCCATTGTTAATTTTTTTCCCCTTTTCAATCTTTGGGATTTTCAACGTATTCTCCGCTACCTTAATTTTTCTTTCGCATCTACTGAATTTTCTAGTCGTAAAGGTTCACTTCATTCCCACGATCTACATCAATTTTAATATTTAATTCATATTTATTTTACATTTTTAACTTTTGTAATTTCATACATATTGCGGCATTTTTAAATATAGTTTTTGAGTTCTACATGTATTATTTGTCAATTACTTCTTTATTTCTATTTATTTAAACCCTTTGTCTTACTTTATAGCATTACAGCCCTTTAATTTTTGTATTAGTTTGAACCTGATATTTTTCACACAATCATAGATTTTACTATTTTTATTTCTAAAGTTTTTCTGAATTTTAGATCTAACTTTTATTTTTAATTTTCTCTAACCTTTACAATTTTCCGTGTATTCTTAGTTTTATTATAATATTTATGAAATTTATAACATTTTCCAACAATAACCTTTTGTTTCGTATATGTTCCTTTACTTTACTGTTTATTGTAATTTGTCATTTACATTTTAATTTTTATATTTTTTCCCCTTAATTTTTCTCATGTATTCTTATCTTGTGTGGTTGTTTTCTACGCCAACATTTAGTTTTGATACCCAGATTAGCTTTTACCAAGGAATGTCGTGCAAAATGCTGCGAAATTAATGAAGTAAGAGAGAGAGACATATGTAGAATTAACCTGGACGAAAGGCGGCCAAATGTAGCTCATTTGATAATTCTTTCAGCTGATAAAGACCAAAGCCGTATCAGTTATTAATTAATACTGAGCAAATTTTGCTTTAAACTTATGTGAATATTGTTCTATTTTTGTATTAATTTACTTCAATTTCAATTTTGTTTTTCACATTTTGGATTGAACTGTTTTCAGTTTGTGCCTTTCTATTAGAAAATTAGCTACATTTGGTTGATGCTAATTCTAAATATTTTTATTTTATATATATAACCGTTGAAGTCTGAAAGTCTTTTCAGCCGTTTCTTATATACAAGGAGAACTATATTTATTTGCAGGCAGGAAAATTTTTACAAGCATATCACTCTCATTCTGTGTGTACACTATCACCAAAAATTACAGTTTGCAAGGGAGCTACAACACCGTTAATTGCAGCATGTAGCATATCCGAATGAATGCAAGCGATTTCATGAACAGATGGCGTCCTTTAACTGCACCAAAGTAGATGGGCCATTGCGGTATATTCTGGACTCGACGTAACCACCAAAGCCAAAAATCAAGTGATGTTAAGTCCGGCAAATGAGGGGGGGGGCACTTATTTCTACAATGACGGCTAATTAATTGCTCTTCGGTGAAAGTTCTTAGGAACATCTTCACTTCGGTTGTGATATGACAAGGTGCCCCGTCTTACATGAACGTCAGTGTGTCAAGGACATTATGTTCCAGTATGAACGGTATTATTTTGTTCTGCAGCAGTTGCAAGCAGCGTTATCCAGTAATTTAGAAGGTCTTCCAGCCAGCTTTTGCACAGCACTTCTTCAAAAAGGGCCCGCAATAATGGACACAGTAAAACCACACCAAACAGTTAAACGCTGTGAATATAGGGGCTCCTCAGTAATAGGCACGCGGGTTCTACTTTGCCCAGATTCTGCAGTTATGAGTGTTGACTGTTCCATGCAATGAAAAATGAGCTCCTTCAGTCCACAAGGTATTAAGAAGCGACTGTAGATTGTCATCGATTTTTGACAAAGCCAAGTTTCCGAATTCATATCGCTCAGCTTTATCATTCGATAAGAGCTGATGGACCGATTGTAACTTGTAGGGGTATAATTTTAAAACACTGTGAAGGATGCAGTATACCAATGTCTTCGGTTTACCAGTGTTCCGTGCCCTTTCTCGAGCGATACTGCACTCGTTGATTGTTCCCTTAGAGTGCCAATCTGCAGCGCTACATCGGAAGTACTGTACGAAGTACTTCCGATGATAAACTTGGTGCACCTGTACGAAGATGATGACACAGACTTCCCGTTTCTTCGAAACGTCCTGCCAGGAAAGTCGATCCGGAAAGAGTGATTGGACCTGAACCTTTCTTCCATCCTTTCTGCATCCGAAACCTTCGTAAAGCTTTAATCGGAGATTCTTGGCTGAGGCGAAACAACTTCACTAATAACGCTTTATCCACTAATGTCAGCATCCCGATTAAAACTTTATGTATGAGCAAGTAGTAGAAAAATCAGAAATAAGCTGTTAATCGTAAACCCTACATTTATGAGTCTGTGATCTACATATTTCGTGTTACTATGACTGTGCTGCCCCGACGACAAAATTTGTAACTTTTTTTTTTTTTTTTTTTACAAGGGGGGGGATTTCTCCTTTACAAGAATTACATTTTCGCAAACCGCTTTCAATTCTAACAATTCCTACAATTTTTATGAATTTGTAAAATATTTACAGACTTATGGGACACCATGTATATGTATACTGCTGTTAGGGTTTGAAAGCCGTTTTATCTGGTTAATCTGCAGATTACCTGAACTGTTCCGTTAAAGCGCGGAATCATCTACACAAATAAGAGTTTTCAGCACTTTACGTACTACATAATGTGAACGTTAGCGTATTCCAAATAGAAAAAAAAAGCAAAATATTTGTTCTTCTCTTCCTTTCCCCTCTCCCTCGTGATAAAATAATCCATTGGTATTGCACAGAGTTTCAGAAAACGCAACTGCAAATCTAAATGTTACCGTGCTTACCGCAAAAGTCAATTACCATGTAATTCAATGTATCATCAATTATTAGATTACACTAATAAGTAAACATAATTTAATCATGTCTTTTGCAAATTCATTTCTCTTATTGTCACATTTAAACTTTTTATTTAATTCTTTGCCTTCTACTATATTCATTGATTTATTCTGTTATTCTGATTCTTCAGATACCGAAAACTAAAAAACATTATATTTCAACAAATATCAGTATCTTTTACTTATAATATGCTCATTATTACACCAAATTATTCGGTAAATAACTACTACTACGTTTCAACACTTTCCAGTGTACTAATTATTATATGAAATATTTCCACTGTGCTGATTATTATATGAAATTGCTTAAAACTTTATGGAGTAAAATTATAGCATAGTTTTCAGTCAATGATACTTAATATTACTGAGTTGTTTATCTGAAGATTAACTTAAGCGTTTGCCATTGTTCGAGCAAAGATCTTATTTTTATTTTAACGAATGCCTAGTAAGTATTGTGCAAATTATCTGGGTAATCTGCAGATTAATGAAGTAAAGTGAGATATGAAACAATTTCCCGCTCTTTAACGGATCAGAGTAATCAATCTGTAGATTAGTATTTGTTCGGCGTGTTATTGTGTCTTAATCTGTAAATTACCTGTAATCTGTATATTACTTCATTTTCGCGCTTTAGCAGAAACATATACATATTCTATACCCTGCACATGAACAATCCATGTAAAATTAATATATATATACATGTATGTATTCATATATAAAATAATATAATACTAATTAATGCTAACTTAGCATCATAATAACAATGTTGTAGAACCATTTAGAATGTTTTTCGAAATCAGGAAACTGAAGAAATGTGTCCGCAGTGTCCTCGCGAATAGCTTCCAGTTACACCACGAAGACACGCGGAAATGAGGGAGAAAATATCTTATAATGCAATAGGAAAAATACTTCGTTGCAAGATTATATTACCAGTAGATAGCGCAAAAGTAACACATACTTAATAATACTTTCAAAATGCATACGAAGGAAATATTAAAAACCGGACATCCTTGGCGGAGTTTACAAGAATAAAAGGTGATATTTGCTTATCTTAAATCAATTATGCATTCAGGTGTGTTTGGGCAGCAGTACTAAGAAATAGGATCTAAATCCAATTTCAGAATGAGTAATCATTAAACCACATTTTTAATTAATGAAATTAGTAATATAAATGACTATGAAATGGAATATGAGCGAAAGACATATATAACGGTTAGTCAGTTAGGTTGGTATTGAATTTACCTCGAATTAAAAAAATTA